GCAGAGATTATCAATGTGGTTGGAGAGAAGAACATGAAGTTGATCTTTGAAGAGGACATCACAATTACACGACAACAGCTAGAACAGATGGTTAACCTGGGTAACATGTGCATTCTTACATAGTAACCCATCAAACATATCAATTATCGTCCAAATAGTGCTATAGATTTACAGTTACTATACCAGTTTTCAATGATTCAGACTGTGTTTTTCTCTCTGCAGAGAGTTCAATTAATGAGAGTTTCCGTCTCTCCTCTGTATCAATGAACATCCGTATAGTTCAGGAAGATTTCTGTTTGCGTCTGGATGCCCAGAATTCAATCAACCTGCGAAAAGATGACATTGTTGCTCTTTACCCACAAAGCACACACCTTGACCCTGAAATATATGATCAGCCTCAGGTAACTTGCATTTACAGCTGCCTAGATCAGTGATTATCAACCAGGGGGCTTCAGCAATTATTATCAATGCTGAAGACAATTTTTGCTGCTTCATATTTTTGTGGAAACTGCAATACATTACCATTCAAAAGTTTAGGGAGAGTATGATTTAAAAGAAAGAAAAAAATTTAATAATATTTTTATTCAGCAAGGATGCATTAAATCTATCAAGAGGAAAGACTTGTAATGTTACAAAACATTTCTGTTTTTTAGTCAATTCTGTTCTTAAGAATTTTCCATTTATGGAAGAATGCTGGGAAAAAAATGTATCTGGACTTCCACAAAAATACTAATAATAGGAATTATTATTAATAGTGATGTGACATGTGACACATGTGACGTCGTCACATGTGGCCAAGTATGTTGACCCATACTCGGAATTAGTGCTCTGCATTTATCCCATCCAAAGCGCGCGCACACACACAGCAGTGAACACACCCCCGGAGCAGTGGGCAGCCATTTATGCTGCAGCGCCCGGGGAGCAGTTGGGGGTTCGGTGCCTTGCTCAAGGGCACCTCAGTCATGGTATTGAAGGTGGGAGAGACTCGATCCTGCAACCTTTGGGTTACGAGTCCCACTCTCTAACCAATAATAATTGAGCACCAAATCAGCATATTGTAATGATTTCTAAAGGATCATGGAACACTGAAGACTGGAGTAATGACTGCTGAAAATTCTGAAAATTCAGCATTGCCCTCACAGGAATAAATTACAATTTATTACATATCCATTAAATCTCAAATAATAAGAAGTCATGGCCTTTGAATATTGTTATGGACAATGGGGGACTCGAAGTCAAAAAAGGTTGAGAATCACTGCCCTATAGTGGACCTCATTTTAAACATACTAATTTATTGTTAGAAAACTAATTTATTGAGATGTCTTTTGTGTGTGATTTCTTGTAGCGCTTCCAATTTGACCGTTTTGTGGAGGACGGGAGGGAAAAAACTGATTTTTATAAATGTGGCCAGAAGGTCCGGTACTATCGTATGCCTTTCGGCTCCGGAGCCACACAGTGTCCGGGGCGTTTTTTCGCGATGAATGAGCTGAAGCAGTTTGTGTGTGCAGCTCTGCTCATGTGTGAAATGCAGTTGCCGGAGAACCAGCAGGAGGCGATGCTAGACAACAGCCGTGCTGGTCTGGGCATCATGCCACCTGTTAATCCAATCACTTTCAAATACAGAACCAAAAAAACAGGGGCCAACATGAAGAGGGAGCAATGAGCTAAATGAATGGAGAGAGACTGTTGTTTTGCTTTCATTTTTTTCACAGCTATACACTGCAATTTGAATCAGGGTTTGATGCACTACAGTGAACAGCCTTCTATGTATATGCAACTGTTACATAATAGCAACTTTTCAAACATCTTACCTCTAATAAATCAATTGTATCTAGTCACTGGGTGTAAATAACAATTATAAACTCATAAAGTGGCAAAGGCTGCACATGCAAGTCAACTGGATTTCATGCACTGCAGCTCATCATCTAGACTAATAATTTCTTGATTTCAGCATTGAACATTAAAAGGTAATTGTTTCTGCTATTTTAGTTTATTTTAAACCCTTATTGAACAGTCATAAAATGTATACGGAATGAACAAATTGATGTTCAAAAGTTTGGTAAGATTTTCAGATATTTTTGAATTATCAAATCTGACAATGAATAATAATTTGCTTCAATACTATTAGACTATATACACTATATACTCTGCTGATATACTCAATGGCAAGTTCAAATACAGTTTAGACACAGAAATCAGACAAAGGCATCATGGGACACTCAGTACTTTACTGGAATGTTAGAGGGACAGCATGTGCAAAAATGAACAAATGTAACTCGTTTCAATAGCTACTGTACAACACTGTGTAACAAACAAATAAAACGCCTCCACATTCTCAGTGTGGCTCAGGTTTTGCTTTTATACTAAGAATGTAACAGTTAACACTCATAAATACTTTTGTACTTCTACAAGCCACAAATAAGATGACAATTATTCATGCATATTAAAGTGCTGCCATTTCACCGATTAAACAAGATTTCATTTCAACAGGTGGACACCAGGTAAGCAAAATTTAGAGTCAAAAAGCAACATTAGTAGATGTTTTTGAGATGTGATGGAAAAAGGTCCTCAGGTAAGAAGCCAATGTCAAGTTGTATCCTGTGCTCAAAAACAGCAATGATAAGCATGATGGCGAAGCCCAGGAGTATCATAGCATTCTGCAGGAGGAAGAAGCCATAGTGACTGAAGCCTGCTTCGCTTGCGTCATTGTGTAACATCTCGGGTACCTTCAAAACACACACACACACAAAAAGCCAATTTTAGAGATCACAATTTCAACTAGATAAACACAGAGGACCACAATGTGTACGTTGCAATGTTTTATTCGTATTACAACAATATTTTCCCTTAAAAATACATATAATTAGATCAACTGTATGTGTTGAAGATAAAGAGGAACAGAGTTATTTTGGAATGATTTATATACAACATTGGTTTTTATTAATATTTTGAATTGGTGTTTTATATTTTAAGTTTTCATTTGAATTTATTAATTTTGTTAGGTTTTTTTTGTTTCATTTATATTTCAGTTTTTATTTCGACAATAATTTAGTGCTTCAACTTAAAATTATTTCAGTTTAATTTTAGTTCTTCATTCAATTAAATTCCATTTTATTTCAGCATTTCAATGAACTAAATGTTTTATTAGTTTTAGATAACAATAATAACCCAGCTGAAGACAAAATATTTCTAATAGAATGTCTTTTTAATTCTGCTCTCGTCAATCACAGAATTTCTTTTTCTTTGCTACTCACCATGTCCACAAGAGCGATGTACATGAATAACCCAGCCGTAAGAGCAAAGATCCATGTGGCAACATCAGAATGCCTGTGATCATGCCCAAATATCCCATCAAGGCTGAGAGCAGATTATACAGGATGGCCTGTCGTACTGACATACCCGCCTTCAGCAAGACCGCAAAATCACCTGCGTCAAAGAGGAGGATAAGGCAGGTGTGTTGAAAAAATAAAAAACATTTCAAAGTTTGATGGTCAACAACCTGACTTATGATTCCTTTGTCAATTCCATATACTGATTCATTTCTAAAGTCAAACAAAACTGTCACCATGATAACAGACAATGTCTTACCAAGCTCATGGCAGAACACAGCAACTGAGGTACTAAGACCACTGGACAAAGCTTCTGTGAATGCTGCCCCTGAAATACAAAATTGCACATAATCTGTAAATGCTGTTCCAAAGCAGTGTATGAAAAAGCCTTTGTGTGCAGTTTTTGTGATAAACATTTGATTCAATTTGAAAAGTACATGTCAATTTTATTAAATGCACAGTATATATATGCATGCACATACATGCATAAACTTTTTTACACTTGTATTGCAAATCTAAGGTTTTATTTGTTTTATGTGTGTGTAAATTTTACCTATGGCAAGTACGTCACTGAAGTTGTGAAGACCGTCTCCCATGATGACCATCCAGGCGAGTGTGGCCACGTCAGCCTGCTGGAAGTGCTGGAGCGAGTAGGAGTGTGTGTGTCTGTGCGTGTGTGTGTGCGGGTGGTGGTTCTGGGAGTGGTGGTGATGCAATATGTGGTGATAGTCATGGTGATGATGATGCTGCTCATCTGAATGGCCAACAGTGTCATGGAAGTGGGAGTGGCATTTGTTTTCACAATCCATGTCACTGTAGAGCTCCGCCCCCCAACATCACCTCCTCTTCCTCTGCAACGCCCCGCCCACATGCGCTTCCACTATTCGTTTCAGCAGCTGATGTTATGGAAAAGTCAAAATCATGTATGACAATTTCATTTTGGCTGCATAAACATTTACAAGCATCAATAAAAAAGTGAAGTTACCATTAACTGTTTTGACGTCATTGTCTTCTAATGATGGCAGTTTCTCAGATTCCAAAACTTCTGTGGCGAGATCAACCCTCTTCTGCACCTACAAACACAGAGATAATACTTTAAACTACAGAAATTCAAGAAACGACGTTACAACGTTCAGGGAATTAATGCTATTAATTAATTAGACACACAGACACACTGCACGATTTCCGGCTGTCCTAGACGAAAGATTGCCATCGTGAAACAATCATGGCGATTTCTATGATCGTGGCTCCTAATCGGCGGTCCTATGCCGTACAGTGAGAGAGGTTCAAAGACGGCTGTTGTCACAGTCGCGTCCAAAGATAGCCTATGTTAATTTTCAGTGTAAGAAATTCAGCATGATCATCACACAGTGTGTTTGCTGTTACAACCTACGTCTACAAACCATATTTCAGCATTTCAATGAACTAAATGTTTTATTAGTTTTAGATAACAATAATAACCCAGCTGAAGACAAAATATTTCTAATAGAATGTCTTTTTAATTCTGCTCTCGTCAATCACAGAATTTCTTTTTCTTTGCTACTCACCATGTCCACAAGAGCGATGTACATGAATAACCCAGCCGTAAGAGCAAAGATCCATGTGGCAACATCAGAATGCCTGTGATCATGCCCAAATATCCCATCAAGGCTGAGAGCACATTATACAGGATGGCCTGTCGTACTGACATACCCGCCTTCAGCAAGACCGCAAAATCACCTGCGTCAAAGAGGAGGATAAGGCAGGTGTGTTGAAAAAATAAAAAAAAATTCAAAGTTTGATGGTCAACAACCTGACTTATGATTCCTTTGTCAATTCCATATACTGATTCATTTCTAAAGTCAAACAAAACTGTCACCATGATAACAGACAATGTCTTACCAAGCTCATGGCAGAACACAGCAACTGAGGTACTAAGACCACTGGACAAAGCTTCTGTGAATGCTGCCCCTGAAATACAAAATTGCACATAATCTGTAAATGCTGTTCCAAAGCAGTGTATGAAAAAGCCTTTGTGTGCAGTTTTTGTGATAAACATTTGATTCAATTTGAAAAGTACATGTCAATTTTATTAAATGCACAGTATATATATGCATGCACATACATGCATAAACTTTTTTACACTTGTATTGCAAATCTAAGGTTTTATTTGTTTTATGTGTGTGTAAATTTTACCTATGGCAAGTACGTCACTGAAGTTGTGAAGACCGTCTCCCATGATGACCATCCAGGCGAGTGTGGCCACGTCAGCCTGCTGGAAGTGCTGGAGCGAGTAGGAGTGTGTGTGTCTGTGCGTGTGTGTGTGCGGGTGGTGGTTCTGGGAGTGGTGGTGATGCAATATGTGGTGATAGTCATGGTGATGATGATGCTGCTCATCTGAATGGCCAACAGTGTCATGGAAGTGGGAGTGGCATTTGTTTTCACAATCCATGTCACTGTAGAGCTCCGCCCCCCAACATCACCTCCTCTTCCTCTGCAACGCCCCGCCCACATGCGCTTCCACTATTCGTTTCAGCAGCTGATGTTATGGAAAAGTCAAAATCATGTATGACAATTTCATTTTGGCTGCATAAACATTTACAAGCATCAATAAAAAAGTGAAGTTACCATTAACTGTTTTGACGTCATTGTCTTCTAATGATGGCAGTTTCTCAGATTCCAAAACTTCTGTGGCGAGATCAACCCTCTTCTGCACCTACAAACACAGAGATAATACTTTAAACTACAGAAATTCAAGAAACGACGTTACAACGTTCAGGGAATTAATGCTATTAATTAATTAGACACACAGACACACTGCACGATTTCCGGCTGTCCTAGACGAAAGATTGCCATCGTGAAACAATCATGGCGATTTCTATGATCGTGGCTCCTAATCGGCGGTCCTATGCCGTACAGTGAGAGAGGTTCAAAGACGGCTGTTGTCACAGTCGCGTCCAAAGATAGCCTATGTTAATTTTCAGTGTAAGAAATTCAGCATGATCATCACACAGTGTGTTTGCTGTTACAACCTACGTCTACAAACCAGCCAATAAAAATGCAACATGAAATGGCGTGTTGATCAACACTAAACTTAAAATGCTTACCTCAAACTCTTTTCCATTATGTGACTATAATATGAAATCTTATAAAATATGAGATCTTAGACTTATATTGTCTGTTTGCACATTTTGCTGACCTTCTGTTTTTTGTCTTTGTACATTTTGCCGAGGGTCAGGAAGTGTTCGATGAGGAACATGATGTAGACTCCACTCAGAGCTGTGAGGCCTATCCACACAGGCCGAAGGGAATCCTCTTCCACCTCTTCGCTGTGGTGATGGTGCTCAGAGTGGCCATGCTGGTGATGACCCTGAGACTGACCGGTGCCAATCAAAGGTCAATAAAAAAAATCTTGCAGAATATAGAAAAACGTGTATAGACTACGTGTATAGTGTATGTAAATGTTTGGGCTTAGTTAACAAAACAAAAAAAAATCAAGAAATTAATAATTTAATTCAGCTGGTATGCATTAAATTAATCAAACGTGACAGTAAAAGACATTTATAATGTTACAAATAAATGCTGTTCTTTTGAACTTTATATTCATCAAAGAATCCTGAAAAAAATGCACTATGGTTTCCACAAAAAATATTAAGCAGAGCAGCTGTTTTCAACATTGATAATATTAAGAAATATTTCTTGAGCACCAAATCAGCATATTAGACAGATTCCTGTAGGATCGTGTGACACTGAAGACAAAAATTAGGCCATAAAACAGTACAAAATTTGAATACAAGTTTGTGTCTTACATGTGGTATGAGGTGGAGAAAAGCATCTCCGCTGAGAGTTCCCACTGCAAGGGCTGCAGGAAGCTCAGCAGGAAGTTGAAGCAAACGCTGTTCATGAATACTGGTGAAATTCTATAAACATCTGTCCACAAAAATGTTTTCTTTTGTATTAATTGTGCAGACCTGTTTATTTTTTTAAATTGTACATTCTCATGATTAAGGCATATTTTAGGCCTACTTTAAGGTTTTAGGCATATGGTCAGCGATGGTCTTGTTGTTTAGGTGTGATCTGGGGTTCTCCGGTGTGCAGTGTGATCGAAGAGACTTCAGTGAATTGTACGTATTGCCCAATGGACAGAAGCTTCAATACATCCTGATTGCTGTGATCATCGCTGCTGTACAGATTAGCATCATCATTACTATCATAATATGCATCACAAGGTAAAAATCACATCACGAGCAACACAAGCATGCACTAAATAAATGCTAACATAGAAACAAACAAACATGTCACACACTCCCCAATCCTCAAAACTATTGCCTTTAAGATTCATCCAAAAAAAACAAGAGGTCGTCTTCAGAAACAGAACCTGGGTCACTTTCCTAAAGATGGAGGACGGAGGATTGAATAGCTGCTGATTACTTTAACACAAACAACTGCACAGCTATCTTTTAACATTAGTATTTCAGTGGCCTTATTCCACCCTGTTTTTACTTTAAAATCTACATTCCCAGGGCAGTTGTGGCCTAATGGTTAGAGAGTTGGACTTGTAACCCAAAGGTTGCTCTCTTCCAACTTCAATACCATGACTGAGGTGCCCTTGAGCAAGGCACCGAACCCCCAATGCTCCCTGGACACTGCTGCAAAAATGGCTGCCCACTGCTCCGGGTGTGTGTGTGTGATTCTTGCCGTGCAAAACATCCTAGCTTGATACTAGAGTGTTTGTATGTATACTAGATTGTTTGCTATTACTTCCATAAGCTATAAGATTAATGATTGGCAGACAATATAACGGGCAATATAAAAACACTGGCTGAGGGCCCTGAACCATAGGGACCAGAATAATATACCAACACTTTGTGGTGGGCTTTTTTAACTTTGGCCAGTAAGCAACCACCCAGAACACCCTAACAACCACATAGAAACATTAAAAAAAAATTCCCAGAAAGCCTTAGCAGCTACACAGCAATGTCCTCCTGTCAACCATATACAACTCAATAGCTGGGGGTTGGAGGTTAAAACATATCAGAGAAAGCCCATTCTTACAAGAATTCATTGTTTTCTATTTATATTTTGCCTTCTATCCACCTTATTTTTAACGTAAGAGGGGGTGCTGCCATTTGTAATTTGAATGTGCAAGGCTTCTAGTGTCAGACACTTCCAGTTATTTTAGCTGTGCAAAAACAGTCAATTTATGCTGCTTGATATTACAAACCAGTATTTGTTTTCATATTTTTTAATGTATTACAGTACAGTTTTTTTTACAGTTTAACTGCACTTTGTTATTCTTCTAGTTTTTTACAAATAGTGGCTAATATCAGAAGAAATGCACATTCACAGATAATAGTTTACTTCCGTGTAGAAAAATAAGGTGGATGAAGTTGGGGAAAACATGACAATCTTTTAATTTCGGAAACAGAGAGAAGTTTTCGTGTTTTTCTTCTGGGTATTTTTATTTCTAATGTACTAGTCAGTCTATTTTCTTCAGCGGCTCAAAGTGCATGCTGGGAGATGTAGTTTTCGAATGTCAGGTTGCCTGAATGTGAGGTCAGAGGTCAAAACACCAATGCCAAACACCTCCAAGGTCAGTTTACACTGTGTGTGTGCGTTCCACAGCTGTTGGCTTCAGTTGAGTTGACAGTATGCCAAAGGGGGGTGGATTTATAAAAGCAAGTCCACCTCATCACACAAACACACACATTTGCGCTCTAGATGAATGTCACTGTCATTTGAGCTATTTCAAAGCTGAGAGAGCAACACATATTATGCATATCCACAAGCTTCCCTAACACATGCACACAATACAGGAATGTTTGAATTAATGGGGCTTTCCAGTGCTTCTGTGATACAGCTTCCAAAAATGTCTTAGTATCCTCTTACAGTTGTATTTATATCCATGCATTTATATCTGTGTGTGTGAACAGGGTGGAGTTTGTCAGATTCCACTGGGGTCTCTCTCTTGGAGTGTCACTTTCTCTCTGTACTGTGTGTTTGATTCCGTCTGGCCCTTTATCCATCTCTGGCCCAGTAGCTTTACTTTCAGGGACGTGTGAAAGGGAGAATCGGAGATGGAAAAGAGAGGAGATGTAATGCTGGGGGTCGAGGATGAGTCCGGGCAGCCTGTCTCGGCCTTGTCGATTCTCTCTCTGCTGGAACGCGTGTCTACGATCATCGATGGCGTCCAGGCCAGCCAGCAGCGCATGGAGGAGCGTCAGCAGCAGCTTGAAAGCTCGGTGAGCGCCGTCCAATCCGAGCTTCTCAAACTAGCTCGCGACCATGGCGCCACGGCCACAACCGTTGACAAACTGCTGCAGAAAGCCCGCCGTGTGAGTGCGCACGTTAAAGAAGTACGCTCACGTGTGGAGAAACAGAATGTGCGTGTGAAAAAAGTGGAAACTACACAAGATGAGCTGCTCACCCGCAACAAGTTCAGGGTTGTTATCTATCAGGTACATTCCTAACAACCGCTGCATGTGTATTATAGGTGATTGAGGGTGTGACTCAATCCTTTTGCCATTTAACAGCAAGTTGGCACTGTAATCTCACACATAGCAATAGCACACTTGAGAATTTCCTTTTTAGAGATGATTGGCTAAGTAATTCTGTTAATATGTCTGATGAGTGACATAAAGATATTTTTGATTCGTCCATTCAAGAGACTTCCAGAAAGAGAGAAACAGAGAGTGACACTGGGCCTTAAAGGGATAGTTCACCCAAAAATGAAAATTCTGTCATCATTTACTGACCTTCATGTAGTTTTTTTCCCTCCCTGGAACACAAAAGAAGATATTTAGTAGAATGTTGGTAACCAAACAGTTTCAGGTTCCATTGATTTCCATAGTATGAACAAAAAATGGCTGTTGAAGTCAGTGGAACCCAAAATTTTGGTTACCTTCAAAATGTATTTGTTTGTGTTCCAAACCAAAAATATCAGGTTTGGAGAGACACGAGGGTGAGTAAAGAAAAATTTTTGAGGGGACTATCACTTTAACCACAGATATTGAGTATCACAGATTAGTAGTTGTCTAATGTGGTTTTGTCAATGATCTATTACATTTTTGTTAAATTTTAACCAGATGACATTTGGTGCCCCAATCCTGACTATATGGTTTGCAAGTGACACAAATGATGATTCAGTTAAATTCTTCTAAGTAGCAATGCACAAATGCTGGCAAATTTTTCTGTTTGACTCCTCACTGTGTTGTGCAATATTAATATTTAGAGAATACATGTGATATAATAAATAACAATTAGGCTGTTAGAGTGTGTGTCAGCATAAGTGTGTATGTTTGTATGTGGTTATTCTGAGGTTTCCTATTATAGAACTGCTCACACAGCTGAATAGACTCTTTAAGGCTATTCCCTGAATAGGGAGTTTATACATACACATACATAGATATCCATTCTTACAGACTACAAGAATTCCCTCCAGGGAAGGGTCATCTCATGTAACCAGGCTTTAGACTGACATAAAACCAAGTCTCCTTTGCTTGTTAAGGCCAAGAACCGCCCACTTAAACAGGAAGAGGCTGTCTAACTGACTGAAAGTGACCAACCACAATATGATTTGTTTTGATGTTATGTAAACATACTGTAACTGTGAAATTGATGATATCACAATAGTAGATCAGCACTCAAAATTTAACTAAAAACACAAAAACTTAAAATGATTGGAAAATGTATGTGAACAGAATTTCTGTGCACCTAAATGTAAAAGTACAGATTATTGTAGACATAATTTCTAAAAAAAAAAAAAAAAGACAGAATATGGTTGATATCTGAATAACTTTTAAAGGTTTGACTTCACAAACCTTCAGATGTACTGACGAAAACCTACATTTAAATTGGAACTGTTGATTTTAACCAGTTTTCAACTTTTCGTGCAATGTAACATTGAACATATCATCTTATATGCATCATGGCGAATCTTCCAAAAATATTTTTATATGGGTAAACTCTATTTAAAGGGTTAGTTCACCCAAAAATGCTGTCATTAATTACTCACCCTCGTGTAGTTCCAAACACGTAAGACCTTCGTTCATCTTCGGAACACAATTTAATCGCGTCATGATATTGTCGTTAACACGCGTCCACAAGTGACGCAGTAGAGACGAAAATGTGGAATAAAGTCATCTAGCCCGGATGTGACCTACACAGAGGTGGTTAGTGAGAACAAGAGGGAAGGTCCAGTATCAGAGGAGGGAGCGACCCGTATCCAAGAGGACTGAAAACAGCAATTCACCACAGGAACTGTGGAGAAGTGGAAGGAAAAAAGCATATATAATGCAGATATAGAAAGTAGTTAATGAGTGTAAGTGGAAAAAAGAGGGGATTTTTTCATTAAAAATGTGCTCCGAAATGTGAGAGTGTATGAGTATGTGTGTTGGGTTGCCAAATTAATTAATAGTAAAGCACTAGATGTGTTTGAATAATTTCTGTTACCATAAGCCACATGTGAAATGTATTAAAACGTGAAAACATATGCTATAATGTGTCCTTTTATTCTGCATTGTGTCTTAATTACCATGTAAGGAGCAGATGACTTTGTCCAAACACTGGTAGTTAAGTTGGGGACTGAACCTCAATTACATTTGGATCTTCAAACATTTATGTTCATACAAACGCCAACATCATAGAGACAGAGACTGGCAGAGTGAAAGAAAGACTGACCCATCAGCCAAAAAAAGATCTCTTGAAATTAATCTCAACAGCTGAGCGGCTCTGCCCAGCACATAGCAACCTAACATGAGGAGCACACTAGCATGCAGTTTATCTAAAGACAACCGAACACTATAATGCATGCTCATTTTTCAATTCAGCTTTTCACTCACGTAGTTTTCCTGATATAAAAACAATTACGAAAATATATGTGAAAATAAATGATAGTATATGTAATATAAACAACTGTTCAAAGGTTTGGGGGTGAGAACATTTAAAAAAAAATCATTTTAGAAATCTTTAATTCAGCAATGATGCATTAAATTTATTAAAAGTGACAGTTATGTTTACATTGTTACAAAAAAAAATTTATTTTAAATGAATGCTGTTCCTTTGAATTCCAGAAACCCTAATGCTGTAAATTCAGCTTTGCCATAACAGGAATAAATTACAAAATAATAAATAATTAATTTACAATAAATTACATACAATCTGTCCCTAAAGGATTTAACAGTAGTATAATTGAAAAAAAAAGATGTTCCTGAGATTGCTGTTTTGAAGTGTACTTCTTTCATTTTAGGTAACAAGGGAAATGACAGGTATCTAGTTCTAACTTTTGATAGTGTCGACTTTATATTATATTTTATTATATTATTACATTGCCTACAAGAACTTTTCTTCTCCGCTCCAGCGTGTGGCAGCACTGAGATTCTCTAAACTTTCAGCTGCCAAACACTCATAAGAGTTTCAGCACAGTAGTGCCATTTTCTTTACCAATGATATATTTTGTATTATTCGTTATTACCCATTGTTTATTATTAACCATCACGGTTCATTTCTATTATTTTGTTTCCTATTATGTCCAATGTGTGACGTCATTCCTGGCGACAGTAACTACAACATCCCGAGTTCCCTTTTGCAGCTTGTGCATCAGAAACGACTGATAAAAAAAACACACGAAGAAGAAGAAGCATGTATGTATATGTGTCTGTGTTTATATATTATATATGTATATCTGTGATGTTTATTTAAGTTTAAATCCGTTTTGCCTCGCCAATAAAGCTTGTTGAATATGAACACAGACAGAGACAGGGATGGCGGAGGAGGAAGAGCGCGGACCCGGTTCAGTTTATCAGATGTTCGTGCTGATGGAGGATCTGCTGGATAAACTCAAGGTTCTGGATTATGAACAGCATGTTCTGGATAAACACAACATCAAACCTCTGTCTAGGTGAGTGATTTAGAATAGCTACTTCATGTGTGAATTATAAGGCAGGATCATGTTGTTGTTGTTTTTTGATTTCACATGTTGCATCTTCTAATCTTATTGACATTAATATACAAATTCAAAAGCCCTTAAATAAAATGTAAAAATAATTTGTGATCAAGAACAGATCAGGCATTTTTCTTACTTTATTCAAGGAGCATAAAACAGAATGTGATAGTAACCTTCAAACCAATACAAACATTTCTAGGGTTACTTATTATTTAAACTTATAAGGATCAATCTTTGTTGAATCAAAATAAGCACTTTTATGCTCTGTTTTTCAGGCATTATTTTGTCTCTAGCCCTCACATGTTGTCCAATTCTGGAGAGCAGTTCTATATGTTCAGTGTAATTGCTGCCTGGCTGATTTCTCTGTGCGGGCGGCCGTTTGACACACCGCAGGAGTACGATGATCCCAACGCCACCGTCTCCAACATCCTGTCCGAGCTGCGTGCCCTGGTGAGACGTTATCATGGTGATAACATCCTTACAAGTGTGTGTAGAAGTATTTGGGTTTCTTGATTATCGCTGTATATCTGTTTTTGTAGGGTGGCCAAGTCGATTTCCCCCCATCTAAGCTGAAGTCTGGATCTGGAGAACATGTCTGTTATGTTCTAGATCAGCTGGTAGAAAAGGCACTAAAGAGTAAAGGATTCACCTGGAACAGGTAACAGCACACACACACACACGCACACATATCAAGAGCTGATTGTATGATGTTCTATGCTGCTTTAGGTCTCATATAACCTTGTTGTAGAACTACAAAATTCAAGAGGGTTCACAAACTTTCTCTTCCCACTATATACACACTAACGCAGCTGGTATTCTCTCTCTATCAGGCCTCTGTACCCGTCTGTGGAGGTGGAAGAGGAGTGTGTGCAGGAAGATGATGCTGAGCTCACACTCAGTAAAGTGGAGGAAGAAGTGACTGTGAGTTAAACGCAAACACTATTCTAAGCTTCACCTTCCTGAGTTACTGCTGCTATCTGGCAAGCTTTTATATTAGAAGTGTTTTTCACGGTTGTGAGGAAATTAGCTCAGGATTTATTCAATTATATTTGGATTAACAGTGTATTTATATATTTTGATTAGATCTGCTTCAAGCAAAAGTCCAAATTTGCCAAGTGTGCACAAATATAAAAGGAATTTGGTATGATTTCCAGGAGTTCGGAGTAATTATATACATGCATATAAAACAAGAGGATAGAAAGGGAAAGTAAGTAGAAGTAAAATAAAAACTTTATACATCGATGGAGTAAGCAGAAGACTTATGTACAGATGTGCATGTTATGTACTGGATATATAACGGTTTAAATATAAATATAAATATATATTTATACAATATAATAATAATAATAATAATCAATTTTAAAAAATAATAAAAACTTCTCCAGTATGCCATAGAAGACAAATCAAAACAATACATAATTTATGGAGTAAGCAAAAAAAATGTTAGAATTTTTGGTTTGCATAAAAATCAATGGCAGGCAGATAATATATATATATATTTTTTTTATCATTGTTTTAAGATTTTAGATTGTTTATGGTATTTCATCACACTTTACATCAAAAGCAAAAAAAAAAACAAAAAAAACAAACAAAAAAAAAAAAAAAAAAATATATATATATATATAACAAATGGAATACAGTTTGTACTATATTGTGATATATTTTAACTAAAATCTAGAATATTATAATATAAATGTTTGCTTATATCGCCCACCTCTTATTCACATAGTAAAGTGAATGAAGACATGAATCACACACACAGATTCGTGTGTAAAGTGAATGAATGTGCATCTTCAGCAGGAGGATGAGGAGTATGAGGAAGAGGATGGCCTTGATTTAGACGCGTTGAAGACCAGAACCAATCAGAGTGTGAGTTTTATTTGACATAAGAGCATGTGATGCATATAATAACATGATATAAACCTGAAAGGAATAATTACTTTCTCTGGAGATAGTGAGTTGTTTTATATGTGAGGTGATATTTGTGTCTGTGCTATAAATCATGAAGAGCCCACAGTCTTTTTATACTTCGTTAGGAGGGACGTTTATTAATATTTTAAACAAAGAACTAGTAAACAACATTTTACCCTGTATGTACAATAAAAGACAACTGGCAGATGTGTGTGTTTAGAAACTCAGTGGATCGAGGCCTGCGGTGGTTCTGGAGTCAGATGTTGATGCCGCTGAGTGGAATTTGGAGGTGGAGCGAGTTCTTCCACACCTTAAAGTCACCATTCGAACTGACAACAAGGTCTCAAATACGTCAACCTTAAATCATAGTATGTCACCTCTATGGTGATGGAGAAGCTCTGATTGACTGAAATACTGGTTAACTTGTTTCAGGACTGGAGGATTCATCTTGATCAAATGCATCAACATCAAGACGGCAAAATGGAATACAGTTTGTACTATATTGTGATATATTTTAACTAAAATCTAGAATATTATAATATAAATGTTTGCTTATATCGCCCACCTCTTATTCACATAGTAAAGTGAATGAAGACATGAATCACACACACAGACTCGTGTGTAAAGTGAATGAATGTGCATCTTCAGCAGGAGGATGAGGAGTATGAGGAAGAGGATGGCCTTGATTTAGACGCGTTGAAGACCAGAACCAATCAGAGTGTGAGTTTTATTTGACATAAGAGCATGTGATGCATATAATAACATGATATAAACCTGAAAGGAATAATTACTTTCTCTGGAGATAGTGAGTTGTTTTATATGTGAGGTGATATTTGTGTCTGTGCTATAAATCATGAAGAGCCCACAGTCTTTTTATACTTCGTTAGGAGGGACGTTTATTAATATTTTAAACAAAGAACTAGTAAACAACATTTTACCCTGTATGTACAATAAAAGACAACTGGCAGATGTGTGTGTTTAGAAACTCAGTGGATCGAGGCCTGCGGTGGTTCTGGAGTCAGATGTTGATGCCGCTGAGTGGAATTTGGAGGTGGAGCGAGTTCTTCCACACCTTAAAGTCACCATTCGAACTGACAACAAGGTCTCAAATACGTCAACCTTAAATCATAGTATGTCACCTCTATGGTGATGGAGAAGCTCTGATTGACTGAAATACTGGTTAACTTGTTTCAGGACTGGAGGATTCATCTTGATCAAATGCATCAACATCAAGACGGCATCAACACATCCTTGCAAGACGCCAAGGTCAACCATCCATCAATCCATCACTGATGTTTTTCAAAATATATTTTAAAAAAAAGATAATAATGTGAAATATTCCATTTAAGCATGTATATGTGTGGATGTTTTCAGGGTTGTCTGTTTAAGCTGAGGGAAGACATCAGTAAAACACTGGAGAAAGTGAGCAGTCGTGAGAAATATCTTAACACTCAGCTTGAGCATCTTATTTCAGAATACCGCCAGGCACAAGCACAGCTCAACAAGGTGTACATCTCGACCAATCAAAACCTAAATCATTATTACTAACCTTAAACCAGTCAAAATATTAGGATGTCAAATGTTGCATGTGTTTTTTCCCTCAGGTAAAGGAGCTTTATCAGCAAGCCAGTGGTGGCG